AGTACATGTTGTTGAGGATGTAGAAAAAGAAGACCACTCCTCCATTGCTGGTGGGATTGCAAACTAGTACAACCACTCTGGAAATCAATCTAGCAGTTCCTCAGAAAACTGGAAATCGATCTACCTTAAGATCCAGTTATACCACTCTTAGGCATATACCCAAAACATGCCCCATCATACCACAGGAGCACATGCTCCACTATGTTCATAGCGGTCTTATCTGTGATAGCCAGAAGCTGGAAACAATCCAGATATCCCACAACGGAAAAATGGATACAGAAAATGTGGTTCATGGGGCTGGTGAGATGGCTCAGTGGTTAAGAGCACTGACTGCTCTTCCAGAGGTCATGAGTTCAATTCCCAGCAACCACATGGTGGCTCACAACCATCTGTAATGATATCTGATACCCTCTTGTGGGGTGTCTGAAGACAGCTACAGTGTATTTACATATAATAAATAAAAGTTAAAAAAAGACAGAAAATGTGGTTCATTTACACAATGGAATACTATTCAGCTATTAAGAATGATGACATCATGAGTTCTGCAGGCAAATAGATAGAACTAGAAAATATCATCCTGAGTGAGGTAACTCAGACCCAAAAGAACATGCATGGTATGTGTAGCAGTATATTTCTCCGCTCCCCCTACATTTTACAATAAAACTTGGTAATTTGGAAGGAGCTAGAGAGGAGAGAGGAGAGGAAGAGGAGGAGCTAGGGAGGAGAGATGTAGGAGCCATGGAGAATCATGGATTTAACAATTTATATCTTGGGCTAGCGAGATGGCTCAGTGGTTAAGAGCACTGGCTGCTCTTCCAGAGGTCCTGAGTTCAATTCCCAGCAACCACATGGTGGCTCACAACCATCTGTAATGAGATCTGACGCCCTCTTCTGGTGTGTCTGAAGACAGCTACAGTGTACTCAAATTACATAAAATAAATAAATTTGGGAAAAGAAAGAAAGAAAAGAAAATATACTGTTAAAAAAACAAAAAACAATTTATATCTTAAGATTAGATATTGAGAAACAACTCTAATTGTGTGCGCAAATTGCTAATTGAGCATTTCTAAGTATATAAAGCCTTTGGACAACAATTAATCTTTAGAGTTTCGTTTCTACCAGGAACCGTGTGGATGGTGGGTATTGTCTGGGATTCAGCCAAGCTTTGTGGAGACAGTGTGCTAGATTGGCAGAGCCATCTCCCATGCTGGCATCTCATGGGTGCCAGGGCCTGTGCTTCTGGCTGGCCTTAGCCGCACTGCTGCTGTTTGTGGCCTCAGGCCTTGCCTAGTAGGGAACATGGTGGCCCCATAAGAATAAGGCAGATTGGGTGCTGCCATTCTAAATATTAACCTAAACAGGTATGTACTCACTAGTAAGTGGAAATTAGCCAAGAAAGTACAGAATACCCAGGATACAATCCACAGAGCTCAAGGGCCCAAGTGAGGATCCCTCAATCCCACTTGAGCGCCACCAGGCCCCGGGGGGGGGGGGGGGGGGCCGAGGAAGGGAGGAGCCTCAGGAGAGAGGGGACAGGGAAGGGAAAAGGGGTACATGACTAGGTATTGGGGGGACAGGATTGAAGCCCGAGGGCCAGCAGAAAGAATAGAAACAGGCAACTTTGGGAGGTGGGGGGACCCCCTAGAATGTCCCCGAGACCTAGGAAGTTATAGACTCTCAGGTCTCAGAGGGAGGAAGCCTAGATGAAATGCCCTACAGTGGGAGAGGGAACTAGTAGAGTCCATCTCCAGCAGAAATATGGCATCAAGTGGAGGGATGGGCTTGCCATCCCACAGTCAAAGACTCTGACCCAGAATTGCTCATGTCTAAAAGAACTGCAGGGACAAAAATGGAGAAGAGACTGAGGGAAAGGCAGTCCAGTGATGGGCCCAACTTGGGATCCATCTCAAGGGGAGGCTCCAAGGGACACTATTACTGATGCTATGATGTGCTTTCAGACAGGAGCCTAATATCGCTGTCCTCTGAGAGGCCCAACAAGTAGCTGACTGAGACAGACGCAGACCCAACTTACACCCAAACATTGGACTGAAGTCAGGGACCCTGGAGGCTCAATTAGGGAAAGACTGGAAGAAGTTGAAGAGGAGGACGACCTCATAGGAAGACCAACTAACCTGGATTCCTGAGATCTCTCAGCCACTGAACCACCAACCAGACAGCATACAGGAGCTGGTCCGAGCACCCGACCCCCACCCCATACACATATACAGCAGAGGACTCCCTGGTCTGGCCTCAGTGGCAGAAGATATGCCTAACTCTAGAGAGATTTGAGGCCCCAGAGAGTGGGAAGGTGGTGGTGGGGCATCCTCTTGGAGACGGGGGAAGGAGAAATGGGATGAAGAACTGTGGGAGAGTGGACTGGGAAGGGGACAATAACTGGACTGTAAAAAAATAAAAGTAATAATAATTTTTTAAAAAGTGGCAAGTGGAATTTTAAGTCTTTATTCTTATAATCAGACTATGCAGCAAGGGTAAATCGAGAAAGCAGAGATAAGTAGAGAAGTTAATAAGGGCTAATGCTGGTTAGTTATTAGTTATAATATAATAATAATCACGAATGGTGATTAATTACTGGGGGTAGGAACTACCATGAATGTAATAACTTACAAACAAAAAATAATGTAAAGTCCGGTAAGAAGGGATCCAGTGGCACAGAGACAGGAGGGAAATTTCCATGAGAACTTTTGTTTGGAGACAGGATCTCACTCTACAGCTTGGGCTGGCCTCAGACCTGTGGCAATCCTCCTGTCTTAGGTCACACCACACCCAGCTTCAGTGAGTCTGGACAGATCATAGTTGCAACCAGGGCTGCAAGAAGCCCTTTCACAGTCTGTCAGAAGAGTGGGCTATTTGGAGATGGCAATTCTCCATCCTTGCCAGGGCACCCACCTCCAGGATGCTTCCTTCACCACAGCCTTAGCAGCCATCTTCCCCCTGAAACTCAGTCTCCTCAGGGAAGTTCACCAGAGTGAATGACTCCTCACCACTCTCCAGGCTTAAGACAGAATACCAAGAGGCTTGCTGCTAAACTTGTAACTATAAATTTAGCCAATGTCATCTCCCATCCCCAGAACATATTTTGTTTGACTCTAATGTGATATATTAAACATACATATTGTTATTTATTTGCTTTTGGACTGTTGTGTATGTGCATATAACACCATTCGTGCACATATATGATGGTATTTAGGATCCAACACCAGAATTGTGGAGTCTCCACAAGTGCTGACTACAAAGGTCAATCTTTTAACTCTCACTCATGAGCTTTACTGTAATTCTTGACACACAGCGTTGATAGGACAGTTTAGAGGAACTGTGACTCTAAAATTGTCCTTTTTTTTTTTTGAGACAAAGTTTTACTAATCTAAGCAGCCCTATGGGGATGAAGATGAACTTAAAACATCTGACAACCTGCTTCCGCCTCCCGAGTGCTGGATTACAGGCATGCACCACCAAGCCCAGATGGTACTGGAGGAACCTGAACCAGGGCCTTGTGCGTGTCAGGCAAACATGTTACCAACTGAACAGTATCTCCAGCCACTGAGAACTTTAAAAAATAATAATAATAAAAAATAAGAGAAACACAAACATCTTTTACGGTATCTGGAGGAGGAATTTTAGTCACAAGGAGAAGGTAACGGCTGTGGTGAAGCTGTTTAGAAATGCTCCAGAATGAAAAGGGAGAGGAAGGAAGGCAGAAATGGACCATGTAGAATAAATAACCAAAGCATAGCTTTTTAGAGACCAAAGGACACATCAAAGAAAACAGAGCATTTCAACGAGGGTGTTAAATATGGAGAAGTGCCAAAGAGGGCCGTGGGCTTTACGGAGAAGGAGGGGGTTAATAAGTCGTGGTGTATGTTGGCAAAAAGAAGTGAAGAGATGAGGAAGGAGAAAATTTATAGCAGAGGAAGTTAGTGTGGAGTTTTCCTCTCAAGATGTTCAGCAAAGCAGAGAAGAAAGAACAGCACAGGCCACTGGGGAGGAGGCAGGGCTGGGGCTGGGACGCCATTGGCAAAGCCACGGGGCCCCAAGCAGGGCATTTTCTTTCTTTCTTTTTTTTTTTTTTTTTTTTTGTTAACTGACCCAGGTTTTCTTGTTTGGAAACAAAGACAATTGAAGAATTTAAAGCTCTTTAAACTAAATCACAAAGATCCTAACCCTTGCAATTACCTTCGGTGTAAGATAGCAAAAATTATAAGGCTCGTGATAGAATTCGGGTCAGTTTCTGAGACGGTACAAACAAATCTCACTTTAGAAATCAGAGTAAGTGGCCATGTTGTAGAAGTACTATTTGAGTTAGTCAGCTCATCTTCCTCTCTCACCAACCACAGAGCAAACAGAATACATGGTTGCATCAGTAAGCTAGCAGATACAATAAGATTGTGACCTGCTTTTCTTTGCATACTGGAATCCAATGCCCCATCCTAAGAAACCTTACTTAGGCCAGGATACACAGGACAAGCTAAAGGCTTGTGGAGCAAAAGTTAAGGTTAAAAATAAAGACAAATAAAGGAAAAGGAAGCAGAAATGTCCTGCTGATAAGAACCAAGACCGACACCAGTGCAGACCAAAGCCCAGGAGCTCAAATCAGCAAAGGGAAACGCTCAACACAGCAGAGCCAGCTCTCTCCCTCAGTCTGCTCCATTTCAGATGACTTCCACCTCAGCCTCCCATCCCATGTTCTGAGATGACAGGCATGAGCCACTGTTTGGCCACATGACCAATCTTTTAAAATGTCTTAAGGTTTACTCATGTCTCTGAGTGTTTACACCCGTGTATCTATGTACACCACATGTGTGTTGGGTGCTCCAAATCAGGAAAGGTTGTCAGTTGCCCTGGTATTGGATGGATGGTTAGGGATAACATGTTGTTCCAGGGGTACTGCTGGGAGTCAAGTGCTCTTAAACCCCTTCATCTTCCCAACCCCATAAAACCGATCTTAGTGACCTAAGTTTGGGCTTTCAATTAAACACTTAACATTGATTTCCAACCTTTATTCAAGATTTTAAGATTCAGTAAGAGCAAATCGTTTTAAAAATAGTGTCTTACTCTGTAGCCCAAGCTGGCCCTCGTACCAGAGGCAACCCTCCTGTTTCTCGGTGTCAGGATGGTTATATGGAAACAGTCTTATGAGACTTCCTTTGGGGGCCTGGGAGTGGGGTACTAAATGGCAGGCTGGGTACCACGGTCAACACAGAGAACTTTCTTCTCACACCATCCACTATCTTAGTGGTCATGGGCCAACATGGTTCCAGTTTACCTGAGAAATCCAAACAACTATTCCAGCACAGAAAGCCTCTTAAAGAACCAGGAACTACCGCAAAGACCCAAATAATCTGACCCTTGATAGTCCCTGGAGCCCTTCCTTCACACAGGCCCCTGGACAGACCTAGCTGGCATGTCGTACCTCTGTCTTGCATGGATGGTGGCCTCTTTATTTTCAGAAGCCTCAGCAGCATGAGCCTCACCTCCTCCCTCAGTTCTCCTGGATCCTCCACTCTAGGAAGACTGTAGGGCCTTTCCTCTGTCCTTCCCCCTCAGGTCTCCCAGCTCTAACCTGCCTCGCTGTGCCTATTCAGCCATGAATTTAGGGGCTTTGCACTTTGCTGCCAGCTGGGCAGAAAACAGCCCCTTCCATGATTCCTTTGGATTCGGTCAAGACCGTCTCCTCCCCAGGCTCCAGTCCCCAAATCTCCCAGAGCCATCATCTCCAAACACCGTGCTCTGTCCCATTTGGGCAGGCAAAGCAGGCAGGGTTGGGGGTGACTCAGGCCCGGAATGAGCTCACTTCCTCACTCTGCGCACCTGCCTGAACTGCTGGAACACAGCCTGGCCCAGCTCTGTCGGATGTTTTCCTTGTCCCTGCATAGGTGGCCTGTGCCAACCCCTCACCCCGACCCTGTCCTACCCCTTGCCCCAAAGGCTATTCCCCTGGGACTCAGTGGGCTGGGCTCTAACCACTGATGCCCATACACACATCACTGTTCAGGTCATCAGCCAGGTCCCCACTGCCCTGTCATCTCAGAAAGGAATTCTGCTCAGCCTCTGCCTCCTTCCAGAAGTCCCCACAGATACAGGCCATCACCTGCATTTCAGGAGGCTGGTCCTCACTCTGCAGTTTGGTGTGGCTCATACACTAATGTCCGCCACGTCCCATTTCCAGCACCTCCTCTGCCTCCAGGATCTCTAGGCTCACTTGCCTTATCTCCAGCTACTGCAGAAAACGGTCCATGCTCAGCCTTCAGGTGGGTCTCCCCCAAAGGCAGTGGTAGAGCTAACTACAAAGCCAACTTCTAAGCTTGGTCTTTTCTAATCCCTCTCCAGCCAAGACAGCAAGGAGTAGTCAAGGCCATGCCCTCTCCTCCACAGTAGCCTAGCTGGGTGTCCCCTGCTAAGTTTTCTTTTGTTTTTATCTTGATATCCATCTGAAAAGAGATCTTGTTTTCTTCCACTCAATTTTGGAGGGTGTTTGGGGTGGAACCTGGGACACTGAAATAAATGGTAAGTAAACACTCTATCACTGAGCTGCATCCCCAGCCAAGGCAAAAGGTATCCTGGAGGAAGGCAGCTAAGGAGCTGGAGGTGAACAGACAGTAGCTGCTGAATGAAGAGGTGACAGGCAGGGGGGCTCTTGAAAAAGCCTGCCAGATGTAAGTTGTATCAGCTGTGCTAGGGGACGGAGAGTAAAGGGAGGGCTGGATGGGACTGCAGGCCTGAGTGAAACCCACAACAAAGGTCCTAGGAGCAGGAAAGGAAGAACTACAAAAGAAGTCCAGTTAGACCAGGGTCACAAAGTGGTCACAAAGGAGTCATGGAGTCCACATGAGGGGATGAAGGGAAAGTCAGAGTCCAGATAAGAAAAAGCAGTCCTAAAGTTAGCTGAAGGGCGGGTAAGCCAGGATCCCTCTTCCAGAGTATGGAAGTGGGAAAAGCAGCTTTATTAACCTTTTAACCCGGATGTCAAGGACTGAAACCAAAACACTCCCAGGGCCACATAGGTCTTTGCAGGAGGCAGTAGGGTACCTTGGAGCATACATGTGAAAGGCAGAAGCTGGCCTGGAGAGTCCACAACAGAAGCCCTCATCTGTGCAGAGCTACTTGTTGCTGTCCAGAGGAAAGAACATCATTTTTGTCTCTGAGCTTTAGCTTCAATCAACGGCTATTTTCTGAGGGCCATGGGCCAAAGATGGCACTAAGAACATTCCGTGTGCTCTCTGTCTCACAAGCCCCCAAGCTGGTGTTTCTACTCTCCATACAAAGACGAGGAAGCAGGAGAACAGGTGAAGTGACCTGTGCAGTGTCCGATAGCCAATGAGCAGTCACGATGTGAATCCCAGCACTCTTCCAGACCTGCAGAAACTCAGACCTTAGAAAGCTTTGAAGAGGGGGCATCTCTGTAAAAGTGGGGTGACTTCTGTTAGGGTATTAGGGTAGCTCTCTTTGAGGGGGCAGAAGTGTTGCCAGGAATGGGACAATCTTGCATCTGCTGTCCACTTGGGGTGTAAATGCAAAGTTTATCTTTGGGGTACCTATGGATGCACCCCTCTCCTCAAAATGCTGAGGGCAGCCATTTTTCAGATGCATCAGGGAAACCCTGCCCCAGGAGCGAAAGGAAACACACTCTCTATTCCAGATGCCTGCCTGCTCTCCTGGAGACTTTGGCAGTTACACCCTTGTGCAGCTCCTTGGTTTGGCTGGTGCACAGGATTAGCCATCCCCAGGAAATGCCTCCCTCCGGTCCAGGCAGGGATCCCAGCACACACACCCCTGCTGGTGGTGGAAGGAGGGTTGATGGAATGCTTCCTCTCTGCAGGTCAAGGAGATCTGGGGACCACCTGGGGCCTTCAACCCTCCCCCTCCGGGCTGTGCAAGTGCCCAGTCCAGTGCCCCTTCCACGGCCACCTCCCTCCTCCTGGCTGTGTGGGGCATGAATCAGCTCTCACAGCTGGTTAAAAGCTGGCCCTCTTGTTTTCATGTCCTCACCTCAGGAAACAGAGTTCCAGCCTGTCCAGCTCTCCTCAGCAGGGGGCCAGGGTCCTCACTTTATAAACATTCCCAGCCTGTAAGAGTAGAGGGCACTGCCATGGTATGAGACTGGAGCCCAGGGAGAGAGAAACTCAGGAGTCAAGGAGCAAGGCAAGAAGAGCAAGGGCATAAGACCAGAGGGATCTGAGCAGAAGCCAGGAGGGGTCTGAGAGAGCTGAGCTTTCGAGAATGGCTCTAAGGATGATGCTCTGGGCTGGCCAGGCCAAGGGGATCTTGGGAGGCTGGAGGATCATCTGCTTGGTGGTGTCTCTGTTCCTGCAGCACCCAGGAGTCAACAGCAAGTGTTACTTCCAAGCTCAAGGTAAGGAGGACTGATGCTTAAGGAAAGGATGACGAGAGTGATGAAGGCTTAGAGATGCCCCAATTCTCCATTCTCATCCTTCCCTAGCCCCCTGCCACTACGAGGGGAAATACTTCACGCTGGGTGAATCTTGGCTCCGAAAGGACTGTTTCCATTGTACCTGTCTGCATCCTGTTGGTGTGGGCTGCTGTGACACGTGAGTAGCCAAAAGTGGCCAGAGGGACTGCCTCTGGTGTGCCTAAGGGATGGCCAGGGAGTCCCTAGATTTCTGTGAGGCAAGAGTAAACAGAAGGGCATCTATCATGAGGCTGCAGATGTGAAGGCACCAATGATAGGGGAGTGGAGGTAGATCTGCATAAGTATTCCTCCTGGGGACACTAGAAAGTCCTTATGTAGAGAGCTTAGCGTGGGCAGGGTGCTACAACACTAATGGAGGGTGTGGGAGGATGGCTGAGTGGGAAGGGCAGGCTCCAAAGGGGGCTTCTTACTGTACTGACTCCCTCCCTGTCTTTGGTTCTCTAGGTCTCAGCATCCCATTGACTTTCCTGCTGGCTGTGAAGTGCTACAGGAGGCAGGAACCTGTCAATTTTCCCTGGTGCAAAAAGCTGACCCTCGACTGCCCTGCAAAGGGGGAGGACCCGACTTAGAATGGGGTTCAGCTAACACCCCCGTTCCTGGGGCTCCTGCCCCTCACTCCAGCTAAAGGCTCACCCATCTGCCGACTGCTCACTGCTGCTGCCACTTCCAGGGAAACCACTAGCAGCTGCCAACTCCCTCCAAATAAATAAATTAATGCTACAGCTGAAAGCCCGTTTCTCATTGCCTGTGCTACAGGGCCCCAGGTGGGAAAAGTGGGCCCCCACTGGAGTCCAGGTGTTGATTTCTCAGTTTCTTAAAAAAAAATAGTTGCCATGGTGGGCATGTGAGCCAGTTTCAGATGGTTATACTGCTGGTGCTAGGGCCTGGGGCAGCATATGAGACCAAGGTGGGGCTTGTAGGAAGCACTTTGATGGGGAGGTCCCAGCTGAAGGTGTCTACAGGCACCTGTTCAGGCCCTGTCCAGGTTGCAGGCTCAGGCTGCTCCAATGGGGGCAGAAGTACCAATCCTGGTTCTCGGGATGTCACAAATTCAAAATGTAATCGCCACTTCAAGGACACTGTGAAAGAAAAAGACAGAGGTAGATGCTCTAAAACTGGGCTTCTCAACCTGTGGGTGGTGACCCCTGGGAGTCAAACAACTTTAGAAAACACAGATATTTACGTTATGATTCATGACGGTAGCGAAATTATAGTTACGAAGTATCAACAAATAATTTTACGGTTGTGGGTCAGCACTACATGAGGAACTGTACTAAAGGGTCCCAGCATTAGGAAGGTCGAGAACCACTGATCTAAAAGCAAGAAAAGGCCAGGTTTGGTGGCAGACATTTACCCCAGGACTAGGTGAAGGCAGGACCACAAGTTCAAGGTCAGTTTGATGCCAGCTGGGGAGACTACATATCAAATATATCCCCAATATCAAAAACCAGCTAAACAAAAGACAAACAGCTGGAAGGTAGGACAAGCCAGTGACAGATTAGTGAACCACAAAACACAAAACTCAGAGCCATCAGGATGCCACCAAGCCTGATGACCTGAATCAGTACCCACATGGTAGAAAGAACCAATCCAGGAAGCTGTTCTCTGACCTGAACACACCTGGCAATGCATGTGCCCTGATCCACATGAAATAAAGTAATTAATGTGCGCGCAAAATTCTCTGACCAGCACTCCGGAAAAGGAGGCAGAGCAGGTGGGTCTCTGTGAGTTTGAATCCAGCCTGGTTTACATAGGAACTTCAGGCCAGCCAGAGCTACCTACACAGTGAGAGCCTGTCTTAAAAACAAGCAAACAGGGCTGGAGAGATGGCTCCGCAGTTGAGAGGAGGTCCAGAGGTCCTGAGTTCAATTCCCAGCAACTACATGGTGGCTCACAACCATCTGTAATGTGATCTGATACCCTATTCTGATGTGTACTCATATACATAAAATAAATAAATAATTCTTTAAAAAAAAAAACAAGCAAACAAAAAAATACTTTTTAGAAGAACAAAACATTGTATCCATAAAGAAGAGAAGGCACAGGTCAGAGAGCTTAAGAAACTTGTTTTTAAGAAACCTGGTGTTAACATGGTAACCAGAAATGCTATTAAAGATATTGGTATCATCTACCTAGTAACCCAGGATCGGGACAGTCACGACTAAGTAGCCTGAAGCGAATGTGCTGAGAGCAGAGATGAGTGCATCACCGGTCTCTTAGCACATCAGGGGTAGGGACAGTATTTAGGGGTCAGCACACCTAAGAAACAAGAGGCAGAATGGAAAGATGTAAGCAAATGCAGAGGACTGGCCTAGACGTGGTTGTCTGGGAGTGCTTTAGAGAGCAAGGCCCACTACATTCTACCTAAGCCCCGCATTTACTTCCCCTGCTTCTTTCTCCAGTAGTGGTTGGGTTCTTACCAATGGCAGTGCAGAAGCCAGGGGTAGAGCAAAGAGGGATGGGGAGAGAGAAGCTGGTTCTGGTGGTATGTAGGCAGGACTCCTGGTGCCGGGCATGAGTCACATGGGACACTGAAGGGACGACTCCGGTCCCACGGCGCCGCTGGTATTCAGGCTGTACCCGCTCTTCAGTTTGCAAGCTTACTGAAAACTGGGGGCAAGAAGAGGGACGTATACTAGCAGGCATCTGGAAATACGGACTGTAAGGTTAGAGGCAGCCCTAAGGAACCCCAGTTTCCACGGCTACAAAGCACCCTCTCTACGAACGTCCCTTTTCCACCCTCACCCCTCAGCAGCACAATAAAAGCCGCTCCTTCCTTACCTGCAGACAAGCTACGGTTCCTTCCCCTAAGTTTAAGGTCCCCACCACGTCCTCGCCAAGTCTGTACACAGATTTGAAGATACCAAATGTCCCGACTTTCCCTCGGCCGTCGCTGATATTGTACAGATCTGAGGAGAATGAGATACCGAAAGGCTAGAGTTTATACTGTGGAATACATAGCAGTGAGTCTCAGAGGCCAAAAGGAGGCTTTTCTCTGTAATGGGGGCAAAATATTAGCGGCCCCCTGAGAGATGCAACAGACTTCTCAGACAGGAATACATGAGGGAGGGGTCGGTGCAGGGCAACTCTGAAAAGATGCTCACGGAGGCTGCGGCAGGATGTGGCAGCCATGAGGCGCTCCCCAGCTAGCTCAGCCAGCCATGAGTCCTTCTTCCCACCGTCATCCTCCTCTAAGAATGGACTGGATGGTGCCACAGCCTCATCCTGGGGGAAGTGGACATCTTGAAGACCTAAAATGGGTGAGCAGAGACAATGTTGGGAAGAGCCAGAGATGCAAACAGACAACTGGTTTTAGACTCCAACCTGAGAAGGCTGAAGGGGAGCCATGCCTGAGGTCTGCATGTTAACTTATCTCCACCTCTTGTCCCCAGCACTGTCCCTAAAACCAGGAGTCTCTGTAGGTCCTCTCACACTATGCTTAGTAACCCTCTACCCCACCGTATCCCTCCAGGGACCTAACTTACCAGTCAACACAAGAACTCGCAGAGGGACTCGGAGTAAAGTGATGGGTGAGTTGACACGCTGGCAGCCAATGGTCAATTTGTAGACATACTTGACTGACTGACCCCGAAAGGAAGGTGGCCCCTCTGTGGGCAGCACTTCACTGTAGGAGTCTGGTTGGAAAACAGTAGTCAGGGCAGCTAGAGCAGCCATGGTCCTCCCTCCGGGAGACTTAAAAGGCAATCTGGGGTTAGAAGACAATCACTCACATGATTTGGATTCTCCAGGGTCTAGCCTCAGGTCACAAAAGAGAATTTTTGGTGGAGTAGAAAGGATACACTGGCCCCTCTCACCTATGAAAAGTAGGAAAGACTTCAATGAAAGACCCCACTGTTACTGACCAGGGTCACACAGCAAGTGGAGGCAGGGGAAGCCGCCAACTCTTTCCGATGTAATATGGGAAGTCTTATAGCCCCAAACCCAGCTACCTTCTCCAGCACTGATATGCTGGTGACCATGTCATTCAAGAACAACTTAACTTTACCCTTGGGTGACAGTGACTTCCCCCTCCCTCCATGACAAACACTCTCCCTCTAACCTCGATGAGGCAGAAAGACAGTCTGGCTGTCAGGCTGGACATCTGGCTGACTAGAGTCAGGGGGTGGCAGTGCTACTCGACTCTCGCTGGCATGGAACTGGCAGTGGATCTGGGCACTGGCCCAGGCCAGAGCCTCACTGTGGACAAGGGAAACGAAAGAATGAGAAGCTAGTTCCTGACTTCACCAATGCTTTCCCTAGACTATTGTCTGACAAGATTACCAAGGTTAGATGACTGTCATAGTGACCAGGGAATAGGACCCCCGAAATAAAATCATTACATAAAGAAAAGTACACTGAGTTCGAAAAGGAGCGACACCGGGAGGAGGAGCAAAGGTGGATAAGGGGTCCTGTCATCCACATCTTCTGTTTAAAAGCCCTTCATTACAATGAGAGTACAATGAACAAGAAAGTGGTGATGGCAGTGTAGTTACAGAACAACCAAAGCTCTGATTTAGAACGAGCGATACCAGGCTTCCTCCCGGAAGGGCCACCACCTTCAGCACCAGCATCCCCACCTGGATGCAGAAGTGGCGGTCGGGGGCAGGGGATTAGTGACAGTCACCACACATTCCAGAGCCTCCCCCGCCAGAAATACAGGACCTCGGCTCAGCTCAGCTACCACTTCAATCATGGCAGCTCCAGAACCAAATCTAGAAGGAAACATAGTGCCAGAAGTCAGTACAGGGGAATGGAGGAAGGAGTGTTTAAGACCTAGGGTTATGTCTAGACCTGGGTCCCAGGGGGCAAGAAGTGGGTTTTTTCAAGTTTCAGTGAGGGTGGGGAGCACTGGGGTTTGGGAATACTGACTCCGTACTGCCTGCCGGAGAGCGTCGCTTTAGCTACGGACCTCCCTGCGCCCAGGGTGAGGCCCCTTGCGCCGCCTCGCAGGCCTGCCTCTGTCCCCGCTTCCCTCAAGGCTCCAAGTCCTAGCCCAGGACAGCGCCACGCGTCACGTCTCTGGATCCAAACTCAGACTCTTACACACGGAGGTCCTCACCTACCCGCCCCTGCGAGACCGGCTCGGAGCTCGGTGGCCTCCGCGGAGTCTGTCGCGCGGCAGAGGCGGGACTTCCTTTGTCACATTTCAGGGTTGAGGCGCCCCTTCCGGTCCGACCTGCGGGGTGCTTCCGGCCGGAAAGGGATCGGGTGGTCCCGGGGCTGCGGGCCACCTTCCCAGCTGTGGCACCTGAGCGCGGGCGCTGAGGATCCTGGCTGGAGGGACCCGGTACCCAGCCCTGGAGACCCTGGAGCTGCGGCCGGGGGCGGGGCCGAGGATCGCCGCGAGCTCCTGGGCGGGTCCCAGGGGCGGTGCTTTGCGGGCAGGTACCGCGGCTCCGCCCCCGTCCGTGGAGATGGTCGGCCTTCGGCGGGCGTGCTAATCACCGCGGCCCAATGACAACAAGGCCCAACCCTTCCCGCCTAGGATCTAGAGACGCGACCCAAGGAGAGCCGGTGGCGACTTTATTGCTGTAGACACTGCTGCTACACCATCAAGAGCTCTCTGACTTTACCCAGATACCAACTTCCCACGGCTTTCCCCAGCATCGGGCCCTCCCAGATCGCACCTAACTGCAACTGGCGCCGGCGTTTCGAAACGTCAGAAACGTGTCAGAGGGAACCGAGGCCACCGGGGTCGTGAGGACCCAGGATCTAGTGAACATGGTAACCTGCGTACCAGCCTTCGAGCAGATCGGCTGTGCCGAAAGAGATTCACAAGTTTATTCTGAAGATACGGGAGGCACTGAGGCTGTGCGGGTTACAGACTCCGGGAGCCCTGAGGACTGTGGACCCCAGAATGAGCCAGGCTACTGCAATTCAGAGGACTCTGGGCAGCTGATGTCCTCCTACGAGGGTAAAGCTAGGGGCTACCAGGTGCCTCCTTTTGGCTGGCGGATCTGCTTGGCTCACGAGTTTGCAGAGAAGAGGAAACCTTTCCATGCTAACAACATCTCTCTCAGTAATTTGGTAAAGCACTTCGGTATGGGCTTGAGGTGAGTAGATTTCGTTGCCTAGAATGCCTTGGTTCCTTTGTTCCCATTCAGACTACCTGCCTAAGTGGGAAAGGGTAGGCAAGCAGGTGGGCACCTGGTTCCAGTCAAGTATGCCGTATCCCCTGCATTCTTTAGCCCTGCAATTTTTGAGGGTGGGACTGAAGAACATTTTTTTTTCTGCATCCCTCTTTTCCTAGCATCTTGTCTTCTCAGCAGGAAAGAAAAAGAGCATTTAGTCTTAAAGTCAGTCTTTCCTATTTAGCCCCCCCCCCCATACACTTCCTCTTTCCCAGGCTTCCCTTTGAGATTAGCTATACTTTGTGACAAGGTAGGAGAAGTCCAGTCTCTGTTGTACTCGATACAGTGTTTTATTTTTTGAGGAGGTTCTCCAGTTTACATTCCCCTCAGCGGCTGAAACATTCTGTGTGCCTTATTTAAGTACACGCTTCTTCAGTCCCAGAGTCCTTCTGTTTCTATCCTCAAGCTCTGATTCCTGGAATAGTTAAGTCTGGCTGTTGTCAGCCCTAAAGAGAGGGTGAGAAGTTCCCTCTGTTCTGTGACAGATGGCTTCCATACCAGGAAAAACAAAAAAGGCAAAGTTGGAATTGGGCAAAGTCCTAGAGTGCCACCTACTTGGGAGGCTGAGACAGGAGGATAATTTGAGCCTGAGAGTTGAGAGCAAACCTGAACATCACAGTGAAAGAATCCTCGAGTAACAAGTAGAGGAGCGCTCACAATGAGGCTCGGTAGTAGAGACCATACATCCTACCACTGAGACGACTTCTAGCCAGCCATGCTTTTTCTGGCTTCCAGAGCCAGCCCTAGCTTTTCCTCCTATCCCAGAGGTTACAAACACTCCAGAACAGGTACTATAGAAGCTTCTGGATTCCCCACTGAGTTCAAAGACTAGTGATGAAGGACCATTCCTATTAACAGGAGCAGACTTATATAAAGACAGAGAGCATCATTCTGAGTCACTTCACTTATAAACACGGTGCTGGGGAGGGAAGCATGATAGTCGCCAAACTCAGCCAAAGCTTCTAAAGTAAGGAACCCTTCTCTGCCCGGTCAGTGCTGTGGAACTGTGATGGGAAGGTCACTTACTTAACCCTAGGCAATGAAGAGGGCCTGGTGCTGCCTGGACATTTGGCTCCTGTGGGTGGCCCATCTCAGAGAATCATCCCTCCGAGCTCTTTATGAGGCTAGCTGTCAAAAACAGACAGAAGCGACTTCAGGAAGAGTTTGTTTTGGCTCACAGTTTGAGGGTATGGTCTATCATGGCAGAGAAATAATGGCGGCAGTCACACTGTATCACAGCCAGGAGCAGAGCAATGAATGCTAGCACTTGGCTCATTCTCCTTTCTATCCAGTCCAAGACTCTAGCCCGGGGAATGGTGTCACCCACAGTTAGGGCGCATCTTCCCATTTCATTTAACCTAATGTATTCATTTCTCATAGGCATACCCACAGGCTTGTCTCTTTGGCGATTCTAGATCTGGCCAAGTTGTCAATATGAATTAACAATCATATTGTTCCAGCCAAACTCTAACCCCAAAAGCCTCTGTATCAAAATGGGATCTATGGTACTGAGATGGGCACAGTGGATTGCATGTGATCAGGATAAGGCGAAGAACAGGTATGCATTCTTCCTAACCTCTTAGCCACTGAGTATGAGCTGAGTCACAGAGGCCTCACGCTCTGGCTCAGGCCCTTGGACCTTGGCTTCCCATACTAGGATATGGTAGGAATTATCCACACAGAGCTTTGGGAATGGGATGAGGTGCTACACTGAGGAGAAAGCAGAGGTGAGGATTCAGAAAGATCAGTTTTGAGCTGGAATTGATACTACTGAAAAGACTGAATATACCAGGAATGACCAGCAGCCAGACTAGAGGAGGGAACCCCTCAGAGTTGAACTGAGGGGCACCCTCATAGGGGTGCTGGCAGGACTCTTAACTTAGAGTTCAATTGATTGCTCTTCCTTTCGCCAGAGTCAGTTCACTTAAGAAATGTTTCCTGCCAGCAAGTCCTTTGTTCTGACCATTTTTGCATCTTGTAATTCGTCTCTGATCCTTTCTGGCTTCCCATTGCTGTCCCATTTCCTGTAAACTGGTAAAGGGCCTTCAGCCTTGCTCCCACCCCAGCCTTCATCTCCCATGCCTTTTGCCCTGTCCCCAGAATGTACTGCTCCTATTCTTTTTTGTTTTGTTTTGTTGTTGTTGTTGTTGTTTGGTTTTTCGAGACAGGGTTTCTCTGTATAGCCCTGGCTGTCCTGGAACTCACTCTGTAGACCAGGCTAGCCTCGAATTCAGAAATCTGCCTGCCTCTGCCTCCCAAGTGCTGGGATTAAAGGCGTGCGCCACCACCGCCCGGCTGCTCCTATTCTTAATGTAGTTTCCCATCTCAACTCCCAATCCACTGTCTTCCGTTGCTCTTTCTGTTTCCAATGTTTGTACATCCATTCATATGTACATTCATCAAATATTATGGGTTGCAGGCCCTGGGTGCTTAGAGCTATGGGGAACATTCACCTAGTCTTGGTCATTGTCCCTTAACCCAAGGAACTTAACAATTTGTCATGCTCATGTGAGGAACACACTGGCATAACAAGGCAGTGTCTAATTGGGAACTGTGACAGTGTGTGGTAATAGTCATACCTGGCACAGATATTCCACTTTATGGCTTTCTTATCTGTTAGGTTATTTGATCTTTCCATAATTACATGAGGTAGCTAGGGCAGAAGTTATCCCTATTTTGTAGATGAGGAAACAAGGTTTGGCTGACATACCTAATTACTTGTTTAGATGTGACTGAATGTTGGACATAAAATGATTGGTTAAGGAGGAGAGTGGAAGTGGGAAAGGCGGGTGTGTGGAGAGTGGAAGTGGGA